CTGGGAGGCATATTACCCTTTTACTATATAGGATAGAGGCCTGGTGCATGGGTGGGGGCCGGCTGGTTTGCCCTGAAGGGTGTCCTGGATCAGGGTGGGGGTCCCCACTGGGGTGCCTGGCCAGTCTGGCTGAGGAGCTGAGGGCTTTTTTCAGGCTGGCGGGTGACTGAAGCTCCCAACCGCTCCTTTTTTTCTTTCTTTTTTTTTATTTTGGGCCAGCTTTAGCTCTGAGGCCTCGGCTGCTGAAAGCAGGTTTCTGGCCTTTGTTTACCTTCTGTATTTGATACAATGTTGCGGCCAGCTGACTAACGCAGGTTTCTGGGGTTTTGTTTAGCTTCTATATTTGTAACATAGTTGGTTAGAGTTGTAGCTCAGAGGCCGGCAGTGGCAGGCGGGGAATGTTGGAGTCCTCCATCACTGAAGGAAGCAAGCCTCCTGTTCACTTTAAGCTGCCTGGCTGCTGGCCGCCATCTTGGCTGGCAGTTAATTTGCATATCACCCTGATTAGCCAATGGGAAGGGTAGCGGATGTACGGCTAATTACCCATGTTTCTCTTTTATTAGATAGGATCATAGTTTTTGGTTCCTGGTATTTATTTATGATTTTATAATTTATATATCTATGTATTTTTGTAAAGCATGCCTTGTGTAATGGGGTCTGGGATAAATAATAGATATTTAGACATACAACTAATTAGGAACATTGGTTATCACTATTACTGTTATTATTGTATTATCTCTCTATCTTTAAGAATAATATTACCAGGTCAAAGAAAGAACATGTGTTTTCTTCCCCCCTCCCCACCCCATTTATTTTCTGTAATCAAAGAAGCTGATATTCTAAATATCTCTATTAATATTACACTGGCTTTATTTTTTTTTAACACTTACCATTACCTAACATGTTATTTATTTAATTTTATTTACTATTCATCTTGTTTAATCTTTATGTCCACATTAAAATTTAAGCTCCAGATAAGCAAAGAGTTTGCTTCCTATTGTAACTCTAGGGACAATAAAGGAACCCAGCACACATCAGGAACTTGAATATTTGTTAAGTGAAAGCATAGTGTCATATATGGGGACCTGTAGCTTTCCATTGAAAGTAGCCAGAAAAATATGATTTTATAGTACTTCATAGAATTTTCATGAAAACAGTCTCAAGTATATAATGTACAGAAACATTCATTAATTCAGTTTTAAAACATTTAGAGTATATGTAAAATAAAGGACACCATGATACAGATTAAATATATATGTATATATAACATTTAACACATTACTATTTTCATATATATATTAGTCATATTCGCATGGAGGTAAATATATATCTTTGTAGACACACACACACACACATATATAATGTCTAGTGCTTCTCAAGGAAAATAAGACATTAAAATAGTTATAATAGACATTAGAATATGTCATAATGTAGGACATACTATTGAACTTGAACTAAAAGAATTAAGGTTGCATTTCAGTTGTGCCTCTAGACAATATCTATTAAATAATCAATAGATAGAATTTGGTCAACTGTAGATAAGAGGTCATTACAGGAAAACAAATTAAAAAAGCAAATGCAATGCCCAAACCAGTTTGGCTCAGTAGATAGAGCGTTGGCCTGCGGACTGAAGGGTCCCAGGTTCGATTCCGGTCAAGGGCATGTACCTTGGTTGCAGGCACATCCCCAGTGTGGGGTGTGCAGGAGGCAGCTGATTGATGTTTCTCTCTCATCAATGTTTCTAACTCTCTGTTCCTCTCCCTTCCTCTCTGCAAAAAAATCAATAAAATATATTTTTTTAAAAAAGCAAATGCAAGTTTTAAGAAACAATGAATAATCCAAATGTCAAGAAAATTCATGAAAAGAAAGACTCCTGTAGTCTGAAATGGGACTAATAGTACAGAATTAGACCATAAGTGGAACAGTATATTTTGAAGCAAAGGTTTTTCAGGAAACCAAAACTGAACTGCCCTCTAGGCATGCTTTTGCCTTTATTATTATTTTTTTTACAATATAGGGAGTGAAACATTTATCTGTGCTATAATTCCATCTTTAACCATACAGAATTGTAGAGGAATTCACATTCATTATTTCAAAATAGATCATATTTGCAAAGAGCTTGATCTTCAAGTTTATTAGATCTACCATTAGCTCTGTGAACTTCAGCATGTCATTAATCTTCTAGAGCTAAGATTCTTATTTAATTTTCTCTGTATATTAAAACAAAATTTCCTCTCTGTCTATGAGTCTGTCTCTATTTTGCTTATTAGTGCATATTGTTCATTAGATCCCACATATGAATGAAATATGATAGGAAAAAAATTATTTCCCTTCAGATTTGTAGTAAGAATCAAACTGTTCTACTTATATGGCTGATAGCAGTTGGGTAGGGGTTGTGGGCCTGGAGTGGGTGAAGAGATTGAACAAAAAAAGAGAGAAAGAACTCATTAACAACAGGGTGGTGATTATGAGAGGGAGAGCAAGGACGGTGGGAGGGGGTATGGGGAGAATAAGTGGTGATGGGGAAAAATAAAATAAAATTTGCAAAAAATTGATTTCCCTTCAGATTTGTAGTCCAAATCAAATTCTTTTACTTATGGAAGATACTTTAATATATTGCAAGCACATAGAGTGTGCTCAATAATTCTGAGCACCCCCTTCTCTTAGTTAAGATAGTCTTACCCAGTCTAACTCTGTAGGATGGCTTTTCTATTCTTTTTCTTTGTTGTTTCTTTGAAACTTTCAAGACATTTTGCAATGAACTAGAATTTTCCATTTTGCTTTCGACATGTTGCCAGTATCTTTTAATTAACACCAACCATCTAGTTATGAAGAAAAGAAAGGTATTATTATCACAGAAAAAACCCCACATCATTTGTTTTCTGAGAAAAATCATTAAACATCTATAATAATAAAAGCGTAATATACTAATTAGACTGGACAGCCAAACGACCATCCAGACGTCATTCTGGATGAAGTCACTGCAGCAGGGGCTGAGGCAGAGGCAGTTAGGAGCAATCAGGCAGGCAGGCGAGCAGTTAGGGGCAATCAGGCAGGCAAGCAAGTGGTTATGGGTGATCAGGCAGGTAGGTGAGTGGTTAGGGGTGATCAGGCAGGCAGGCAGAGGGGTTAGGGGCAATCAGACAAGCAGACAAGCAGTTAGGGGTAATCAGGCAGGCAGGCAAGAGGTTAGGGGCGATCAGGCAGGCAGGCAGGTGAGTGATTCGGAGCCAGTGGTCCCGGATTACGAAAGGGTGCAGGCCAGGCTGAGGGGACGCCCCCCCCCCCCGCATGATTTTCATGCACAGAGCCTCTAGTTGATTTTAAGAGAATAAAAATCTTCTCTACATTTTATGCATACTCAAACTATATTTATACTCACAGTTTAATCAGTTATTACTTTTATGCAATCACCAAGAACTGATACTTTGAGGTTTCTTATTAAATTCATTTACCCAATTAAATGGGTGTATCCATTTCTGCTATATGTGTTGACTAATTTTTAAAACCATTTTTGGCGTTTTGCATAGGAAAGTAGTGGGCATAGCCTATTGGAAGGATGGTTCTAAACTGCCATATGCTATTCTCTGAGAATCCAAATATCAAGCTATAAACAGGAAATTAAAGCACTCTCACACAACGTTCTTGAAGAACCAGTATATTAGTTACATCTAGTCAAAGGATGAGTGCAAATGTCTTCTAGTTATCTATAAAAAAATTTGAAGAGAATAAGTCTTACTTGAAGAGAGTTTTTGTTTTGTTTTAAAGAGTACTTTAATCTCTGACTGTATTATTAATTATTACCATTAATAGCAATTAAATGAATACAAATCACAGGCTTACTCAGTGAGATGTTCAGGATTACTGATAGTAGCAGAAAGTGCCAGAAAGGGACATCGAATCATAACAAGAAGATGCTCCCAAACTTCTGCTCCAATTTCTCCCCCAAGACAGTGAACCTGGCAATGTGGTTAAATAAACTCAGTATTAAGTCAGTTCCACTTTTCCCCCCCAAATACTAATAGATTATGCTACCAGAACTTATTATTTCCTTCTCTCTCCACATTCAGTAATGTTCATTCACCCCTGACAAAGTTTTTGATCAAGGATCCCAACATGACTTTGAGGTGACTTAAACTGGATTTGAGAATAATATATTGAGAGATGACTTGTTCTATTATGCATGATGATAGCTGAACTGTGAAAAAGATTATCACATGTCATGGTAATAATGCTTATAAGAAAAAACAAATTGAGCAAAAAAACACACTTTGTAAGTCTTGTTTACAAATGAAATATTGGCTAAATTATAGCAATTACCACAAAAAAATAAGATGATGAAAAATCGCTATAAAAATACAACATTTTACTCATGTATCACTCATCCTATCACTGAAATACAGATAAAAATGTTTATAAAACAAATTAATTTGAAATAAATTCACTTCCCCAGGCTTCCGTCTATAAATATACATAGAGCACTTATCCTGTACCAGTTAGAAATCTAGAGAAAGCCTAGTCCCCTGACTATAAAAGGGGTGAATATTAGTTCATTCATTATTAGTTTGATACAATGATATGGACAATTAATATATATATATATTATGCAAAGTGTCCCCTCGGGAGTTCAACTGGGAGTTCAATCACTAGCCATGACATGTGCTGACCACCAGGAGGTGGCGTGGAAAATGGCAGATGACCAGCGGCAGCAGCGGGGTGCTGAGGGAGCGAGGGAAGAAGGAGGTGGGGAGGCGGGGAATCTGATCGCTGGCCAGGCCTAGGGACTATACCCTTGCACAAATTTCGTGCACTCGGCCTTTAGTAATAATATATGAAAGCCAGAACAATTTTAAAAGACTTGATTTAAAATAATCTTTGTAAAATTTTCAGCTAACAATAAACCTGTATTTAGTAAAATTAGATTCTTATGTAATTATAGCCTATCTATAATAATAAAAGTGCAATATGCTAATTAGACTGGAAAGCCAAATGACCTTCTGGATGTCCTTCCGGATGACCTTCCGGACAAAGCTGGAGCTGCGAGGGCCAAGCCCCTTGAAGGAATTTCGTGCATCGGGCCTCTAGTATTTATAGAATGAGAACCCAATTTCAAAAGTCTTGTTTATGCTTAATTTCTGATTTTTACTGAAGCCTTTATTTATGAAGCATTTATCCACTATGAAGTACTTTGGAAAAGTAAAGAGAAGCTTTCAAACATCTTTTAGTCAGCCTTAGCCAGTTCGGCTCAGTGGATAGAGCGTGGGCCTGTGGACTGAGGGGTCCCAGGTTCAATTCTAGTCAAGGGCATATGCCCAGGTTTTGGGCTCAATCCCCAGTAGGAGGCATGCAGGAGGCAGCTGATTGATGATTCTCTCTCCTCATTGATGTTTCTATCTCTCTCTCCCTCTCCCTTCCTCTCCGAAATCAATAAAAATATATTAAAAAAAAAAAAAAGCTTTTGGTCAAGCTCGGCTCACATGGCTCCGTTTTTGAGCATCAACCTATGAACCAGGAGGTCATGTTTTAATTCCTGGTCAGGGCACATGCCTGGGTGTCAGGCTAGAACCCCAGTGTAGGGCCTGCAGGAGACAGCTGATCAATGATTTTCTCTCATTATTGATGTTTCTATCTCCCTCTCCCTTCCTCTCTGAAATCAATAAAAGTATTTATTTTAAAAAGCTTTTAGTCAAAACAGAGAGAAAAGAGAAAAAGAAAAACATGTATATAACATCAGAAATATACTGATAACAAGGTCATTTCAATAAAGTGTGTATTTGAAGGGCCAATAGTTTGCAGATGCATGTGAAATTTATAGTGATGAAGTGAAACTTAATAAGGATTCTTCAGTATTTTAACTAAAGATGCAAAAGACAAGATTTAAAATAAACATTCTGCAGGTTTTTTTTTCCTTCATTGTTATGTTACAGGACAATTAATCTCATCTTTTTACATGTACAGATAGATACCTCTGTGTGTCTGTGCGGCAATAAAGCTCAGGAAATGGAAGCAGGCTGCCTGTGTTCTAACCTTGGCTCTGCACTTAACGTGGGTGAACTGGGTAAAGTTCATCTCCCTTTGTCTCAGTTCAGTAGCCATAAAAATAGTAACTACTTTATTGTGTTTTTCTGCAGAATAAATGGCATTATAGCTGGACAGTTAGCTATTAACATTTTATGTATAGCAATATGTGTAATAGAATTATTTATATCTCAGGGGTGGAGAACGTCTGGCCTGAAGGCCCATATAAGGCCCACAAAATAATTTGATCTGACCCTGCCAAGCATTAGGGATGAGTTAATTCAATGTTTGACCAAATATAGGGGGCTAATTTTTAAGTTGATAATTTTGTATGGCCTGTGAATGATGTTATAAATATCTAAATGGCCCTTGGCAGAAAAAAAGAGGTTCCCCTGATCTAACTGAATCTTCGCATTCTTTTTTAACCTTTGTTTTATTGTGAATGTAACATTTAATAATTGTATAAAATATATTTTCATATTAACAAAGTATGATTCAGATTAACTAAGTAAAGCAAACATCCTCATAAATTAAGACAAATATTCCCAGTATCTCTGAAGTCCATGCTAGAACAACCTTCTTCAGCGGTAACATTGTTATTTTAAAGTTATCACTTGGTTTTCATTATACTTCTTTACATATATACATGTCTGTTTACAAACAATATAAGTTGATTTTCCTGGTTTTGTAGGGTTTTTTCATTTGAATTATATAGCATGTGTCCTTTGCTCAACATTACAATTTTAAGGTTATTCTACCATTTATTTTCCAATATTTATTTTCATTGATCTATGTATTCTGTTGTATAAATATACCACATTTTGTTATTATTTCCACTCAAATAGACATTTGAGTTGCTACTCTTAACATGAGTGAGGGTTCTTAAATTGTCTCCTTTTTTAAAATCTTAAATCTTTATTTTTTTTCTAATTCTCAGGTATATAACTTTCATGGGAATTCCTTGTTCATAAAGTATGGTCATCTTCATTAAATATTGTCAAAAGGACTTTCAAAGGGGCCTCCTGCTCGCAGTGTACGGGCCTTCCCATCACCCCACTTCCTCCACAACAGGGACACTGTCAGATTCCCACCTTTACTGCCTCATTGGTGTGCTTCATTGTGATTTTTAATTTAGTTCAGTTTCTTTTCAGGGGTATATTAGACATTGGAAAATCTCATTTTGTGATTGCCTTTTCTTTTAATATTTTAAAGAAATCCTTATATATTTTGAAAGAGAGGTCTTTGCCAGTTTATAAATTACAAATACTTCCCACTCAGTGGCTTATAATTTCATTATCTTAATTATATATTTCGATGAATAAAAATTCTTGATTTTAATATAAATTTGTTAAACTGTTTTTCATAGTTTGTGCTTTTCAAGTTTTTGCTTAAGAGGTCTTTCTCTACTCCTAAGTAATGAAGATATTCTCTTCAAATAACATAAAGTTTCATCAATTTGCCTTTTACATTTTTGTGTTTAAACCATTTGAAATTGATTTTATGTATGAGGTGAGGAAGAAATCTATTTTTTTTCCTCTTCCATATTGACTTCCATTTTTTTCCAATACTGTTACCAGTGCCATGTTTTTGTTTTAAATAAAATGTCTGTACCTGGTTCTATTTCTAATGCTGGCTGATTTGTCTATATTTTTATCCCTGTTTCCAAAGATATCACTCCATTATCATAGGTCTACAATTAAATCCCAATACCTGATAAAGCAAGTTTGTTTACCTTGATCTTCTTTTTTAAATGCATTTTTTGGCCTACTTTAATCTTCTTTTTCAAATGAGTCTTGATTACTTTTTCCCTTTTGCATTTCCATGTGAGTTTCAGAATCAGGTAATCAGTTTTCTCCCCACAACACTCAAATGTGCACACACAGTCACACATACAAATACCACAAAAGGACAGGAAAAAAAATCTGAGTTTTTATTGCGACTGCAATGAATCTATAGAAAAATTTAGAGACCTAATTGTTTAAAATGATCTATTTGTGTCCAAAATGACCTATTGTGTAAAAATAATCTATCATAACTATAATCACAACTAGAAGCCCCATGCACAAAATTTCGTGCACTGGCAGGGGGGTGGGGGGTCCCTCAGCCCAACCTGTGCCCTCTCACAGTCTGGGACCCCTCGGGAGATAACCAACTGCTGGCTTAGGCCTGCTCCCCTGGTGGCAGATGGCAGGCCTGGATCCCTAGCTGGGGCGGCCGGCGGCTCGGGATGGCGCTGAAGTTCCTGTGGATGTTCAGGCTCCGAAAGCGTAGTTTTTCTTTCTTGGTTTTGTTTTTACTTCTTGAAATTGAAATGTGTTAAAAATATTTTTTAAAAGAATAGGTCAAGCACTCAGTGAGGCCTTAAAACCTGGGATGCTTGCTTGTGTTATCCGAGTCTAAGCTCGTGGTGCTGGAGCACCCCCGGGAGACGGGACCCCGGCGTGGCTCTGTCTCCTTCCCACAAACCACACGCCCAGCTGCTGTCGGGTGCCCAGCTGTCCTCCTTCACTTTTCGTTCCGGACTTGCCGGTCACTCCTGGTCTCTGTCCACCTCTGGGCGATGTTGGGGGGCGTGTTTCTTCCTGAGGAGCCGTCCTGGTCCTGGTCCTGGCCCCTTTCCTGATGCTCCTTTTCACTTCCAGAGCCGCCCATCTTGCTGTGTGCCACGCCTTTTTGCTCTTCCATGGAGACGCTCAGACCTTTCTTTCCTTTGGGTACTTCCGGGGCTTTCTTCAGGTTTCCTTTCTGAGCTGTTTTTCTGATTTTGGACCTGGGAGCCAGGCCTCCTGCACCCGCAAGCTGCTGCGCTTCCTCTAAAATCATTTCTCCCTTAGGCCCCAGC